TCTGAAGTATATGTAACACAGAGCATCTCCCTGAGTACATGCTGGTATTGTAAACAAAGAAGCACGTCAACTACTTTTTGTAACATGACCTACATATACGACGTCGACTATGAGTTAAATGACATATACCAAATATACTCGAGCTTTCAGCTAACATTTTATCGGATCTAAAAAGTCAAGTATGTGTAAAACAGTGGGCAGAGCAAGACAAAATCACACGAACGGATGTTGTTTATTGAATAGACATATTATTTAGCTCAAATGAAATCAAATGACTAAGTCAGTCAGCTACAACGTAGGACCAGGCACATATGTGCATCGGTCCAGGTTGCCATACCGCATCAACACAACAAGATGAACACCAGATTCATAACAGTGGTTAGGTAAAAGGTGGTAATATATAAGAGAAAGATTGCATATAGAGATATAATACAAGCAGAAAGAATTGGTTCGTAGAAAGAAAGATATGAAGCGATTTTAATCTCATAGTTTAAGGGAAGACAGGGAGTGTATACACCGACGCCATTGTGATCGATTCTGAGCCATGTCACCAAGAGTCTCCAACCATCGGTTACGATAGTCACGCGGACCCCAACCAAGTAGTCTGCATCTACCAACATGGCTCAGATTAGAGGTTAGTGACTTCAAGCACTGATGCCACGTTTTGGTTTGGCCGCCCCTAACTTTCTTCTAACCATTTCCAATACCGGATAGCATTGCACGTCGTGGTAATCGGTGTTCAGGCATACGTAACACGTGGCCCAACCATCTCAGTCGATGAAGATTCATAACCTCATCAACTGATTTACCATCCTTTCCTAATACCCTGTGTCTAACCTCACTATTACTTACCCGGTTATCCCAGCAGACGCCAGCAATATTTCTTAGGCATCTGTGGTCAAATACTAATAGCTTACGAGTGTTTTCTACTTTTAATGGCCATGTTTCGCTGCCGTAAATTAAAACAGAACGGACTGCCGCGCAGTATACTCGTCCTTTTATTGATAGACGGATATCTCGCCTTCGCCACAGGTGACGTAAGTTGGCAAAAGCCAAACGAGCTTTTCGAATCCGTGCTGAGATTTCGTCCGATACCAGCCCATTAGGGCTGATCAGACTTCCAAGATAAGTGAAGTTGTCAACGCGTTCGACTACTTCACTCCCTATCCTTAGTTCAGGTGTTAACGCAGACCAGTCCTGAAGCAACAACTTGCATTTAGAGGGAGAGAAGCGCATTCCAAACATCCTGGCATTGTTGCTCAGTGCTACCAGAAGACTCTGCATTTTGTCAGCGTCTTCACCAAACAGGACTATGTCATCTGCGTATTCTAAGTCGATAAGTGGACCTCCTGGATGGAGATCAATACCCGAGAACTCAGTCGACGACAAAGTTATTTCCATCAGTAGATCTATGATGAAGTTAAACAAAAATGGGGAAAGTGGACAGCCTTGACGGACACCACTTGAGGTTGCAAAACTAGATGACAGTTCGCCATAAGCTCTCACTCGACTAGTAGTGTTCGAGTAAAGAGCCTTTACAAGGTTTATGTACTTCTGGGGTACGCCTTTCAATGACAGACACTGCCACAGAATCTCGCGGTCTACAGAGTCAAATACTGCTTTTAAGTCAAGAAAGACCACCATTGTCGGACGTCGATAAGTATGCCTGTGTTCTAGAACCTGACGAATGGTGAATATGTGGTCGATGCAGCCACGACCAGGTCTGAAGCCAGCTTGATTTTCTCGTGTTTGCAGTTCACGAGTCTTAGTTAGGCGTTTGATTATTATTGAGGCTAGTATTTTAGATATTATATTAGTTAAACTAATCCCTCTGTGGTTGTCACAGGATGATTTTGACCCTTTCTTATATATTGGGACGATAAGTGATTGTGACCAGTCAGATGGAATAACGTCTAACTCCCAGATCTTAGCTAAAATATTAGTCAACCTAACCGCTAAAATTGGACCACCATCCTTAAAGACTTCTGGAGCCAGTCCATCTGGACCAGCAGCCCTTCCTCGTTTCAGATTATCTATAGCCTTATGAACTTCAGCAAGAGTTGGGGGACCTACTTCAATGTTCCATTCACGCTGTCTGGGAAAGGAGGGTAGTTGTAGAGTAGCTGAAGGCCAGCTGAACTGTTCTCTGAAATGTTCAGCCCATCGTTCTAAACGCCTGGACTGGGAGCAGATGAGTGTATCGTCTTTTTCTGATATAATCTCACTTACACTTGACTTATTAATTCCAGTTTCTTTTATTAGTCTGTAAAGCTGTTTTGTGTTCCCTATAGTCGCCGCCTTTTCCATCTCTTTTGCTTTCGTTGCCCACCACTGCTCACGGTCGTTTCTTAGACTTTTTCTTAACCTAGATCTGATTTGTTGTCGCTCTTCATCATGTTCGGAACCTGATGGGACGAGTTTGCGAGAAACCATCAGTGTGATAGACTTTGAAGAAATCCACTGGTCCTTTGAAACTTTGTGGTTTAAGTTGCTAATAGATGTCACTGCTGCTTCCACAGCTGCTTGTATGTCTTTCCAAGCAACATCTGGGTCAGCCTCGTCTTCAGAATTACCTAAGTGTGAACTCAGTTGTTCTTGGAACCTATTTTTGGTTTTCTCGTTACTCAATTCAGTTCTAATTGGTCTTTTTAATGTGGCTTTTTTGCGTCCGGTGAGGCGCAAGCAGATGCGTGCCCGTATTAGGGCGTGGTCGGAGTCCAAGCAGGTACTCCAGAATGAGCGACAATCTTCTACCGACCCTCTCCAACGATGACTGATGGCAATATGGTCTATTTGAGTCCATCGTTGGTTTGGTGTAGGGGGTCGCCATGTTAGACGATGTCTCTCCTTATGCTTAAAATTTGTGTTTGCTAAAAATAAGCGATTGTCTGAGCACAGTTGCAGCAGACGATCACCATTATCTGTTCGCTGTGCCGCAATGCTAAAATATCCACCTAAATGCCTTTCTGTTTGGTTTAAGCTACCTATCTGGGCATTAAAGTCACCCCCTACGAGTATTATGTCTGAGCGTTTAGCTTTCTGAAGAAGTTCAGAAAGCTTTCTGTAAAATTCATCCTTTACTTCATCTGAGCTGCAGTCAGTGGGAGCGTAGGCAGAAACGACAAAAAGGCAACGACGTGTGTCCCTATCGTTCCGAGTTCTTACGTAGCCGTTTAGCCGAACAGCACATAGACGACTGTTGATGGGGATCCACTCTAGCAGTGCTTGTTCCGCCCTCATGCTTAGTGCTATGCCTACACCTGCCAGTCCACGAGAACTGGCCATCAGGTCACCAGATGCACGTAGGGTGTATCTCGTTGGCTCTTCGTTTTGCCGAGGTGAGGTCAAGTGAATGATCACACTGGAATCCTGTATGCGTGTTTCGGAGACACAGCATACATCGATGGAAAGAGACTCTAGGGTTTTAGCCAAGGAAGCCTGCTGACCGATTTGACATAGAGTGCGTACGTTGAAAGCTGCAATGTGTAGTTTGGAGCGAGGTTTCAGTAGACCTGGGACAGAGTTTTGAGCACTAGAATCGTTGGCTATGGTGACACTTGAGGAAGAAGCCGAAGGAGGAAGTTTAGGGTTGAAAGTCGATGTAGGAGGAATAATAGGAATTGAAGAGGAAGGTTGATTATGAATACAGTGGTCTTGGGTGCTGTTAGAGGTATGAGGGCGGTTATCACTTCCCGGGTGCCCACACCGTGGAAAGGTTCTTCTGGAGGTACCTGAAAAGGAAATTGGATTAGAGGCGGTCTCAGCGACCTGAGAGCGTGACCGCAGTGCCCAAGGGACAACTGCTTGAGGCCGGTCGCGCACGGCCTTTTTGTGGAAGGTTTTTGACGTGTTAGCTCCGTTCCTCAAAGAGCCTTACCGCCGGAGACGGAAATCCGTGAGGTAAGGCGAGGTGTGCATTTTTAGGGTCGACCTTTTCTAACCCCACCCCTCCTTGTGGGAAGGCAGCATCGCTGTCATGCTGGTTGTCTGAAGGAAACACCTTACTGCTGTCACACCTCTGTACAGTCAGCAGTACGACTTCGCCTTCGGACCTTAGGTTTGTTGCTTTTAGTCTTACCGCTCTTCAACCGACCTGTCTGACATGGTAGGACCTTGAGGAACGATTGTTCCAGCCAGTATAGCTCGGTTGCTTTATCACGATAGGCAAGCCCGACCACCACGTCAAGGTAGCAACAACGGTCGAGATCGTACTTCTAGGGATCAGTCCTATAGTACGTATCACCAGGATGTCAAATGACTAAGAGTGTACAATGATATAAAGTTCACAAGTACGGCCCACGTTAAACGTTTGCAAACATCAATTTATAAAACTGCAAATGTAAAATTCTTGGCATGAAATTATAACAGAATCAAGTAGCGCTAGAACCAATGGTGTTAGAAGATAGGTTTACCCAAACTCCATATTTTTGGGAAATTTCTGTAGAAAACTTTGAGGAAATTTGGATAGATGGCGTAAAAACAAAAAAATTTCCAGGTCTGGGAACCCGAGATTCCAATTTTGGGGAAATGGCACAAAAACCCCGAAATTTCCCCAAAATTCCACCTTAACCTTGGTCAAGGTCACTCGGCTTTGGGGATTTCCTCGAAATTTCCTCAAAGTTCCCCGAACATTAGTGAAAGTCATTTGACTTCGGGAGATCCCCCAAAATTGGAAGATCAGGGGTTTTCCCAAGGCTTTGGAGAAACTGCGTTTCCCCCAATGTTTCAACAGAACCATCTAACACTGAAGTTTTTCCCAATAATTTCCACAAAGTTTGAGAAGAACCACCTTATTTCTTATGACTTTGAGGAAAACCCCAAAATTTTCCCATAATAGTGAAATTGGGTAGTGCATCATCCATCTACTCAGCATTGATATCATTAACACCGACTTGATACAAATAGCGCCAAATTGGCAGCAGTAGGTGAAAGCAAAGCTAAGATTACAAACTGCATCAGATACTGACTATGATCGGTGAAAATGAGAACATCAAACTAACCAGAAAATAACATGTAGCAAAAAACTTTGAAATAGGTGCCAAGCCGATAAACGTCCAATGCACAGCTTCGTTATTTATCTTCAGATAATACCTGTGGTGTATCCTAGTGGAAGATCTTATTCAATATATAACTATACGCATAGTCATCAATGACACATCAGAAAGAGGTAACACTACAACCTGAAATGTCTGTTTTTGAATAAAGTAAAAAGGCGACAAATATCACTCACTACAAAATGATATATTAAATGATAAATGGTAACAATTGTTATGAAATGTTACTTGTTACCTCCTTCCGAGATAAAATTTACAAATGAGTTCACATGATCGGCGAAGGTTTTCTGAACGTGATGGGACCAACAACGTGATAAGAAAGATTATATCCCATAGTATTATCCAATAACAATCCGGGCCAAAACTCCAACATAGTGTATAATGTCCTGAACAGATGTTATAACATCATTATGATCTTCACTCACAGACCGAGACCAATAAAGTAGAAGAACAAGCGACAGAGATAGCGCTTATTTCATTTTAACAGCAGTCGCGCGTGTGTGTTAGTACGGCGGAAGAATTATATTCGTTTTTTCCAGGTGATGTAGAGTAAAAACGGAAACCGAATATGAATTTTCTTTTGTGTAAAGTGTCACAAATGAGGAAAACTGATGCCTTTATCTTGTCATTACAAAAACGATTGGTTTTACACGTCACTGTAGACCAATTAACACCAAAATCATCTGTCAACCATTACTAGATATCCTCCTAAGCTACTGTAAGACAACCGAGATAGACTTACGAGTCATAATTTCTGTTCATGAAATAGACCAGAGACGTTCTTTGCCATTTTAAATTCACGCAGTTAAACCCTTTAAAATATTTACTTTCCATAGCCGAAACAATAATAGGCCGCTATTAAAAGCAACTCAACTTAGTAAATGTGGCCTTCAGCTTAGCAACCAATCACAACGAGGCGGGATTTATTATATCCGCCATATTTGTAAGCAATGGCGGTCGGCTTTCTTCGTTCTGTGCTTTTTTCAGCTATTTCTTTTGTGTAGCTATGGAATTTAATGTTTCAGTGTGCTAGAATTCAGCAGTTGGTGTAATGTTCTATATGTTGGTGTGAAATTTATTTCGAATCAGCATTGTTTTTCGGGTTTTTGCTGCTTCTACTCAAGTCAATGTATTTCTTCAGCCAAGCTGGCTAGTCTTATGTTTTAAAATGATAATCGGTTTTGTTTTGACTTGTTTTCTAGATATCCAAAGCCGAAGTTCGTTTTTTCTTAGCTGAAATAACTGTTGCTGCCTCCTGTGACTAACTGTCCGCATGTTCGTTCCTAACTGTCCTTTATGATGTTATCGGCAAAATGAAAGGAAACAATCTTCGTTTTTTAATTTTCTTCAGTATTGTAGACAACACTATCCCATCAACGAGTCAAACTAATACTGAGTGCCCAGCAGTAGGGGATATCAGTATTGTTTTCGAAAGGACCCGGACTTCCGACAACCATCGACGAAGTCACAGATGTTACCAATCTATTGCAGAGGGTTTGTTATATGAACTAGGTGCTGCGAGGCTCGTGTAGCGCAAGTTTCTTGCAACGATAAAGTAGATAAAACAAAGTAGCATTAGATTTAAAAATTTATTCAGGAATTTTCATTAAGAATCGAGTATCAAACAAAGGTTTAAACGAAGTTCCCGTTTAAAAGTTGCATTGGTAATGTTAAGCTGCAGTCTTTGTTCTTTTTTTTTCTAAACGAAAATGTAAAAGAAGTAACGCAAAAAGTACTGGGAGTGGTTGTGAGACTAAAATGGATGTCCAGCATCCTTTTTATAATCTGCTGTTAGTTGGGTCTCCCGTAAAGTTTCATAGGGCCATAGTTCTAGGTGCGAAACAGTTCTTAGGATCTGTGAAGGCTCACTCCTTTTGCATTCTAAATGAAAAAATAGTAACGAATTTAGTCAGAAATGTGGAATAGATAAATAACCATATTACATGTTTTTTAGCAAAGAATTTATGCAGTCGTGACTTATCTTGAGTTCATGAATATTAGATCATGTCAGCTACTATTACTTGTGCAAAGCATAACATGGGCTTAGTGCCGTATCGCAATGCTTTTATTATTTTGCTCCCATTTAAGTATTCACATGCGTCTGCGTCTAGTTTACCAGGAAGACATGCAAGCAGAGTTAGTGTCTGATAAACTAAAAGTCCTAGTTGTCAAAAAGATTCTTAACATTTATCCACAGCCAGCTACATTCAATTGAGACACAGAACACTCATCTTCTAAGACTGTATACTGCTGTTTTGGGGGCAACTAAAAGCTCAGACGCTTAGCTATCCTGCTACCGATGTTACTGCTGGGGAATTGTTTAATGACAGTGATCTTGAAATATGGTTAATGATGATGTACAGTGTAGAAATAAACACCAAACATACTTAAAGCTATCTTATAATGTATGACAACAACAGTACCAAAGGCATTTTTTCCTATTTTCAATCAGACTGATTTAAATCAGAATACTCATTAGGAACAGGCAGCTCTACTTACTAAATTGATCTGTTTCGTTACAGGCTTCAAGCACTATACTTAAGTATACCATAATTCTTTCAACTAAACTGAATTATACGACAACCAAGAATACTAAACTAAGCAAGTGTCATAGTTATTGTTTCATTTGCACAGACATGTTGCTTAAAGTAGTTGAATGGACATAATTAGACCGATAAAACCAAAACACGAAATATAGGCCAGTTGAACTTACCTAACAGAGGACAAAGGATATATATATTGCTTTCCGACTGAAGACAGCAGTCAGTTGTTCATAGAAACATAGTTTACAGTACAACAAACCTTCCTTCAGTAACATTATGCACTGACGGTCTATCTGGAAACAATCAACTATGTGATTATACTTACTATGACTTGGGATATCATCCCAGCGTGCAATGAACGTACAGTGTGACGCAGTCTGACGCAGCGAATAAAAATTACAAACAGCAAAATGAACAACATAATCTAGTTATTTAATTAAAAATGCATTATGAAATGACAAAATCTGTGGTTACATGAACGCACGTATGACCGTTATTACACTGGGCGAGACATTAAGTTTACATGGTTGCGTTGCGGATAAATTCACCCCAATAATACGCTGCTTGAAATTCATATTCTAAATGCACGCTGACATGCGTCAGTTATAGTTTGAGTGATTCCCAATGAAATTACAGAACGTTCCACAAACAACCCACAATAATTGGGTCCCTCAGTGAAATTCACTTAACAATTATCAGTGGTTCTGTGGTGGTTACTAAGTGTGTTTTCAATATCGTTATTATCAATAATTTTATTCCATTTATTGCATAGTCGTGTACATTGCTACAATGATCGGTGTGAACTAATGCATTCTTAATAGATTTCTATCCTGACGACAAATGATTTATTCACTCCAGCAGAGCATTTAAATCTTCCTATAATCGCTCCCGATCTTCTTCGTTTTGTGTGGGTCTTCAGACAATAATATCATCAGTAAACATTAAGGTCGATGGCTTAGTTATTGTGGATATATCATCTACATGAAAATGAAAGGCCTGAAAACATCTCACGAGGAATTTTCTTTTCCATAGATTCTTAAGATGAAGTATCCACTTGACCTTATAGCGGTACTAAAGTGTCCTCAAGAAAACGTCAAACACTTATTAGGGTCAAAATAGGCTTGTAAACTAGTTTAGAAAAATAGGCTTAATAGTTGTAATTAGAAATTAGAATTAGGAAGTTTACAGGTTTAATAACACCCATTTTCTGAAGCCGTTCAAATACTTGTTCAACTATTGGAAGAGCAATATAAGGTTCAGGTCTTTTAGGTCGAAAGATGGGAGTGGCTCTAGGTTTGAGGGTTAACAATGCTTTGGCTCTCGTACATTCTCCCAATCCTTCTTTAAACACGTTGTGGTGTCTTTGTAGCACGGTAAGATTCTGGTTCCACTTTAGGAAGTTATCAGTTCTGATTGGTCTGCAGATGTTTTTAATAAAATGGTCTGGTAGTTTTTGTGTCTCTACAAGGCCTAACCCCAATAAAACGAGTGCTGCGATCGATTCGTGCTCGGTTATGCGATAGCAACATTTTGTTAGTTCATGCACCGGATCTGTGTTTTCTGAAATAGGATTTCGAAGAATGTCGTTTATGGGTCATTTTTCTTCAGCTGGTTACTTTATGACATTTACTGCAACAATATTCTTTATATGAGCAAAACCTCTTATAATGCAAAACTCCACATGATCAACATGGAGATGAGGGCTGGTTGTCTGTGCGAAATTATTTTCTTTGGCAGGAATCTTTCTCTTCGCTTACAACATGAACATGTGGATATCGGCTACTATTTTCAACCATGGAAGTGTCGTGTTTCAAATTTGCCAATCTCTGGAACTTCGTGTTTACTTTCTGTACTGTATGGTGACATATATTCAGTTATTTTTGTAACAAAAAAAATAAATACCACATTTTTTCTCTAATTTGCCACACTTTATTAGTAACCACATTTTTATTCAATATCTGTTGGTTCGCTGTATCACTTGTTAAAAAGACGATGATAATTGTTTCGATGAATGATATACGATTCTACTACCGCGTTGTTTAAAATATAGAACACTATCTACGCCGGTTGTCTTTCTGTTTTATTGGCCACAGTTTTGATTGAAGACTATAATATTATTATAACATCATTATAGGCCTTCCGACTCGACGTTGGACTTTTTGCGCGGATTACTATTGTATAATACTATTGAACTCCATCTTCCTCATTACGTCATTGGTGCAGTCACTTGCAGAGGAACACCTGTCAATCAAGTGAACTGAAATTGTGGTCGTTGTTCTCATGAGGAAGTTGACAAGTAACATTCATTCTATAGTAACTGTTAGTGTCTGTTTGTTTAATATACCTTTTGTATTGCTAACGGTATTTTGTTACCTTTGGTTTTACTAACGGACAGACATCTAAGTTTCTTTACTATTAATTCTTTGGTATATCATTATTAACCTAGTGTAT